ATTTTCTTTTACTTAGCGGGCGATTATGCAGTGAACAAATATTTACAGAACAAAAAATAAAAAATTAAAAAAATGAGAAGTAGTTTTTGAATTCATACATTTGATATGTAGAAAATAAATTAAATTCAATAAAAAAATTGACACTCGATAATGATAGCAAATAATTACATTGTGGTAAGGAAATATTGTTTTATTTTCCATAATTGTTTCATTTTTGGTATTTTTACATTTTTTTTAAATCCGTTCAATTTAGCTTAATTTATTTCATTTGAGTTCAAATAGATTTATTCATTTATTTTTATTTTATTTTGTGTCATAATGTTTTATTTAATTTTTTATTATTTGGCATAATTCTTTTTTACCTAATTTTATTCCTATTTATATTGTGTTTAATTTAGTGATTCTTTTCTATTCAGTTTAATTTAATTTAATTAATAAATTTTATATTTTGTTGTTAACATAGCTTTTTTATTTAGCTTGTATTTTTGCTGTTTTATTTAAGTTAAATTTTTATATTATTTAGTTCAGTTCATTTTTATTTAATTAATTTATTTTTATTTAACCTTTATTTATTTTGTTTTTTTTTTTTATTTTTTTTTTTGAATTTTTGATGTGTATAATTTAATTTTTTATATAATTTATTTTATTTTGTTTTATTATTTTAGTTTTGTTTATTTTATTTTATTTTTTATTCCATTTTACAAATTAATTGTAATATTTAAGAATTTTTTTTAAACAAATAGGAATAATCAATTTGATGAACTTAAAACTCAGCTTTTTTTTGTTTCTTCCGCCCATCCACGAAAAGTCTGTGGCATCAATGGCAATGTTGAATTAGTAAAGAACTGTTAATTTTTCGAATAAAATTTTATATATATGGACATACACATTTACATATATATATTCTATTCAGACATTGGTATAAAAACAATAACGACCCGTGGTGTCATCACATTTATCCATCAGCACGAATATTAAAAAAATAGGAGTGAAAACTACAAAAATTTTATTTAATCTATATATACTCCTCAAAAATCTAAATTTATCTTGGTTGTTTGAAATCACGTGTAGAAATGTTGCTAATGTCGTCAATGGACAAACTAGAGAGAGAGACATAGAGCAATTTCACATTTTGTGTCACGGATAGGTTAGGGAACACAAAAGTCTTAAATTATGCAATTTTTTTATAATGATTTTTCACACTTTTTCGTGCATGAAATATTGTATATTATTATAATATTATAATATTATAATTTGAGTGTGTACGATGCGCGTACATACTTTGTAGAAAATAATATTACAACGCTTAATATAAAATGTTTGGAAAATATAAGTAAAAAATAGTCTCTTATTTGTAAATTCTAACATTAAATTTAAATACTCAATATTTGAGTTAAGCAAGAGAAAATGATATAGCAAAGGCTAGTAACAATATTGTACACATATACATAAGTATATAATATACATAAGTGTTCACCTCAACTGCCCCAAATCGCCACTGACAGCTTGTCAAGTCAGCTGTTATTTAATTTGACACTCGTCTCTTAATAATTCAACAGACAAACGAAATTCAATTTTTTCGGGCTATCTTAAAAAAAATTTATATATATCAATTTACACACACAATATATAAATATGTTGCAAATTTTTTTTTTGCACACAAAAGCTCATAAATATTCAATTTAAATATTTTCGTGACAATTTATAGGCGTATTAATAATTGTAGGCGTTTATTAGTGAACAACTGTTTCGCAGAGATGCCAAAAAGACTTGTAGAATAAATAAAGCCAATAGACTAATAAATAATGGAATTAAGTTGATGAAATTCTCCGAAATTTGTTGTGAAAGGAACCAGAGAGAGAAATATATAGAATTTTACGCTTCAATTATATAAGGAAAAGTTTTTGAGAAGCGGTAAAAAATAATGATGATTGGGCTTAAAAATCCGTTGGGAGAAAAATAGGAAAAAATTAATAAATTAAACTATTTCAAATTATAAAATGTTTAAAATATGTAGCGATAAAACAAAAAAGGCTTGTTCCCATGTTCAGGATGATTTTGCACACGCCATTTGTTTTTTGTTTGCTTCTTTGCAAATTTGAATATTTTCAATATTTATTAGTTCAATTCAAAAAACCACTTTGGCATGGCCATAAAATTTGCAATAAAATTCCTAAATTTCATAAATGCTACTAAGTCCATACAAATGTATATATGAATGCAGTTGTACTGAAGTTAGTGGTGTTTCTGAAATAAAAGTATTAAGCTTTAGAAACCAAGTTATGAAATGCAAATTAGGTTTTAAAGCGCAAAATCTTTAATAGTTCATGATTTTTTTTAACTGTTAAGCAACAAGTCTGCATAATGAAAAAGCACTTTTTTGAGTCGGGTATAAATAGTTTACGTTTATCGGGGTATTAGAAAATTGAATTAGTGTTGTAAGCGCGGTTCGTCGAATATTAAAATTTTAACGATCAAAATTGCATTTTATTAAGGATCATTATTGCGGACAAATTTTGAAAGAACTTATTGTAGTTATCGAATCATTAATGGGATAGAATTACTGTATTAAACTTTCCTAAAAACATTTTCTCAAACAAATAAGCAGGCCATAGTTCTCATGCTAAAATTAATCAAATTAAAATTTGATTAATACTCGTACAAATGTCGCTTAGCGATAAAATTGTGTTTGAGAGCTTTCAAAATATAATTGTATAAGTAAATAAGAAAATTGTGTTAATTACGGAAGCAAACAGTTTGGGGCATTTATGTGTTGGCCCCTTTGTATATCAAGAAAAAAAAAATGACGTCAAAAATATTGATTCAAAAAGTAAATAAAATAAAATAATATAAATTAAAATAAAACAAATCAAAATAAAATAAAAAAAATTAACAAAAAAATAAAATGAAATAAAATACAGTAATATAAAATAAAATAGAAAAAAATAAAATAAATTAAAATAAAAAAATAAAATGAAATGTTATAACATACAAATCGCCTGTAGCAAGTTCCCAAAGAAAATCACTAAAACTAAAAACAAACAACAAAAATTTTGCGGAAAACGCGTGCTGTGAATTATATTGCAATATATACATATGCATTAAAAATTACGCAATTAGGAAATATGTATGTAGTGGAGGTATGTATGTGCAGAGCATGTTACAGCAGTGGATTTTATACAGCAACTGTAAGCATTGCTTGGCAGCAAGTGATGGCGATTATGTGTTGCTACCATTTGTTGCTGCAAAATAAGAACAATAAGTTGCGTAAACATTGCGTATATCGTTGAGGGAGTGAAACAGTTTAGAAACTAAACTTTAGATATACATAGTTGTAAATTAATAGAAACAAAACGCAATGTATATTAATAGATTAGTACATAGATATACACGTAAGTAGATGTGTACTTATATCTATTTTCGTATGCATGCATTGCAAGAAAAGAAAGTACATCTCGACAAGAGGAAAATGAGTTGTTGTGGGTGTTCATATTATAAGTATGTACAATACATATATATATATGTATGTGTGTACTTTGATAGCGGAATATGTGTTTATTTCAAAGGTCGAAGCAATTTCACTCTAAAGTGTGTCGAAGCAAAAATAAATGAACAGTTATCCGAGTAATTGTAATGCAGTTATTTTATTATTTTTTTAATTAATTAGATTGCTTGTTCTAATTGTTTTTTATACACTTAAATTAATTTTTTTTGAAATGATTTCATTTTATTTCACATTATTTAATTTTATTACACAATATTTTTTTTATTCTATATTATTTATATTATTTTATTTTCTTTTGTTTTGTTTTAGTTGATATTAAATTTTTTTCATTTTACTTTATTTTGTTTGGCTTTATTATATTCGATTTTTCTTTAATTTGTCCTCTTTCTTAGCCTTATGTCCGAAATTCGCGCATTCTAAATTATTTGAATTTCTCCAGAATAATTTATCGAAGATCTAATATCGGTTTCTTAGTGGTGTAGCACAAAAGGAGTGAATAACAAGCAAACCAGGTGTCAAAGAAGGGCAGGTGTTGCAATTAACGCACGTTTGCTAAATATTTGTCTGCCGCTCTATGCTCTGCACTTTCGAACAACAACTATATAGACAAGAAAATTTGACTAAATTCTGGCGCATTTATGACTTGTCACCACGCCAGGTCGGCCACTTTAGCGCGTAAGTCGACAAGAAATGCCAAAAAAGAGACGGACGAAAGGGCATATTCGTGCCAATATTGTAATGTGGACTTCATGGGAAATTTAAATGAGGTTTCTACTAAAATTTAAAAACCGAAATAACTTTCAGTCTAAAATTCATATGTAAATATGTGCGTATTTTATGGGTATACGTTGCACAAACGGCGGCGTTTGTTTGGTCATATGCGGATACGCATCGTAAAAAATTCATTTTTATGTCGTACGCAATTATCACATGTATGCACCACAATAGCAAATTAATTTTTCTATGCGACAAGGAATTTGTGAATGCTTAAGTTTATATCATCATACATACTGACGTTGTGAAGAACGGATAATGAACTGTCAGCTAAATTTTTGCATATCTGATGATTGAAAAAATTAGACTAATAATTAAAAATACATGAATTTGAGTTTTCATTACAATTTATTAAAGATAGCGATCACCTAGCTTTGATATTCGACATTTTTTTATAATTGAGTACAATATTATTTATCTTGTCCAATAGTTTTTTTTTCCAAAGTCGTCTATTTAACCGACTAAATACTGCTCACTGTCTTGCGTTGTGTTCTTTTGGCGTATAGTAGCAACATTAGGCAAACAGTGTCAGGCAGATCTTAATGTCATAAAAAAATTCGCGAATCACCTAACAAATATCTCCAATATAAACTGTCAAACAAAAGTATTTGAAGTTAACGGATTTTCTTCATCAACCATTTGAATTTAATATCTTCTTATGTTTTCACTATTTTTTTAAAATAACTCTAATTTTAATTTTTCCTTCTTCTTCTCGTTTCAGCTTTGGATAATAGTTTTAATTTCCCCAGCGATTATGCAAAAAGTAATAATAGCAGCCACACGCTTCAAACTTGCTGAACAAAATTACTTATTATGATGATAACAGTAAAATCGTGGATTCGAATTAAACAAAGTGCTTGAGAAAATAACGTCAACCCTAACATCTAGTGCATTGAACAATAAGAATTCACCGTTATAGTTGCGTCAACACCGGTATGATCAGGAGAGCAACGACAACGACAACAACGTCCTTGGTGGAAAGTGCGAAAAAATGCATTATCAAAGGGGAAGACGAAGATGAAAATCAACAGCGCCGACAATTGAAATCGAATCGTGTAAAATATTGCAACAATATGGTGACCTAAATACTTACGACGCGCAAAAGTATGAAAAACCGGCCGAAATAAATCACTAGAAATTTAAAAGAATTAAGATTTCATAAAAAAAAATACAAATAAATATATACATACATATATATGTAAAAATAAAAAGTGCCGCGAAAAAAAATATATTTTCGAAAATTTCAGAGTCAGCAAATACAAAAGTTTCGACCAGCGAAAAAAATCCGGTATTGAAAAAAGTAAAAGTTAATTGCATTGATTTATTTTGCATGCGAAATTGTTAAGCCACGAAATAAAACATAGAAATATTTAAATAAAAAACAAAAAATTGCGTGCATTAAAACGGTACATACATATGTATGTAAGTACATCATAATAATATATGAAGTGAGAAACAGGTATTGTGTGTAGCATCAGGTGTCAATAATAAATTATCATTTTTTGTCAATTAAACACAATTGAGTACAAAAAACCTGCTCGCCAACTGCCTGCCCAGCTTCCAAAAACCTTTTCAGCCTGAAAAAACACAGTAAAAATTACGAAAGCTGCGAGGATTACCGATGATTACCGCGCGGCGTTCACTGTGAAGCGTGGAAAATTGAATTTAAACAATTTAATTTCATGTCAATATCGCGTTATTCGAAGCTATTCTGAGGACCTTGTTGAGCAACCCTCCAGCGGCTGCTGGCTTACCGTAGCGATTGAGACCTTTTGCCAGACATCAAGATTTCACGCGAAAATTTTTACTTTTGCGAGCATTCGACTGTTGGTCACGAACATTATTGGCTTAACGTCAGTCGGCTGTCTCGTTCATGCGAAGGGATTTACGTCTGTATTGGAGGGCCCTAGCACTGCTGGGTGCCCTCCTTTCGATAATCATTGATTGGCCGGGCATGATGGTGTGTGCGATGCCTGCGATTTTATTGCAGCCAAATGCAACAACAACAATAAATGCAACAGCTACAATGCAACAGCAACAACGACAACATATTGATCATTTAATGGCAGCGAATGCATCATTTCACAATGCCACAACCACAACAAACACCAACAACACCCACCGCAGCGGCTTCGACGTTGATGCCGTTGGCGGCTTACAGATAGCTGAAGATAGCTTCGCTTTAAATATTTACTTAAATACAATTGGAAATGGTAGCCTTAATAGCAGTAGCTATGGTGAAAGTGAGCAGCAGCAACAACAAACAGAAGAGCAAGAGGAAGAGCAGCAAGAAGCTGAACATACAACGGAAGAATCGCCAAAAAGCAGTCAAGCGCGAAATACCGCCACCCTTGCAGCCGTTAATACGAACAGCAAACACTCGGCAGGCAACGAAAGCGAACACCATGAGGGCGCCGACTATGCGCCTGCGCAACACGCCCCACCAGCATCGAGCGACGATCAGTTGCATAATGCGCAGCGCATTAAAGTGTTGAATTTGATATCGAATAAGCGTAAACGTAAAAAATTCAGCGACCAAAATGACGACGATGAGGAAGCAGCGCTAGAAGCAATAGAAACAACAACAACTACCACCGCCAATAACAAACCACTTAGTGTAAGCGCAAATAGTATTAGCAATAATAGTAATAATTTCATTCATAATAATATTAATAATAATAATAATAATCAAAATATTTTCAAAAATTATGAAAATCAACAAATGGCCGCGGCGCCAAAACGAACGTTAAGCCAGCTCGAAAATACTACTCATAACAATAAAAATAATTATAATAATAATAACAATATTTATATAAATTATATCGAAGAGCAAGTGCCAGCAACAATCGATGAGGAGGACGAAAGCGCGGGGGTTGCGGCGGTGACGGAACCATCGTCACTGTTCACCACCACATCGAGTACTGGTAGCGATTACGACGATCAAAACGAGCGCAGTAGTAGTCGCACCAGCACATCGTACAGCCTTACAACAGCGACGCCCGACGAGGATGCCGATTTGTTGCAGAATTCCGCGCCACAATTACCCGCCTTCAAATTCGCGTCCGCGCAGCATACCGCCCTACTACTTTCGCGTACCGAACGTAGTGTACGTCAGGCCGCAGTACCATCTGCCGCTCAAACTGATAAGAATATCGAAATGCGTGCGCGTGCGCCGTCCATACCAAATAGACGCGCAATACGTCATCATGGCGGTGGTGGCGCAACTAATAATAATGGCGGCATTGTGCGACGTTCCTCTGACGGTAGTCCGAAATCGAGAAGACTGAACAATTTTAGAAATATAAATGGCAGCAGGCATCTTATGCCCAGCAATTTGGATCGCAATGAGCGCTCGACCATCTCACATTTGTCGGGTTTGTCGCGTAAAATTCAGATTTACATTAAAAATCGTTTCATACAATTATTGCCGGATGGCACGGTGAATGGTACGCAGGACGACCAAAGTGATTACAGTGAGTACACGAATAGATTTTCTTTTTATTTTTACTTATTATGTTTCTATATTATATTCCATTTTGTAGTCTGAGCTCCTATTATAAAAACGTTTTTCAGATGAGATTTTGGTTGTACAATATCATCCGCACTAGGGTGGTTGGTAGTTTTATCATAGCTCAGCATATTTTAGCATCTGAAATGTGTCTCTTGCTCTTTAAAATTTTTCTAGAAGTATTCCTTAATAGGAATAAACAAATCATCAAAAGCCAAAGTGGTTGAGTCGGATCCGAGTTAAAAATTCAAGTAATATGTAGAAAAAATATTTGAATTGATTTTTTGCTTTGTAACTTTTTTTGAGGTAAATGTATGGAAAAGTATTCTTGAAATAAATTCTCCCTCCCTAATATTATATTAACCATTTGTTTCGCTCCACTTCTATTTGCTTATCAAGTTGTATATATTTATTTTAATGCATGAGCACTTAGAATATTTTTAGGAATTTACTTTTTATATTTATTATACTCGTAGATGTGTGGTTATTTGATTGAGATGTTGCGAGGAATATTACTGTCAGATATACTAGTACAACAAGAAACGAGGAATTTTGGCAAGTGAAACGTTTGGCGTTGAAATATATTGTCAGATTGCGATTATCTTTAGGTACAAATGTATACACATTTTAAATTTGTTTTACTTAGTTCCATTAAATTCCAAGATAGCAAAAAGTGCGTTGAACCACAAAACTATAAGAAAACTTTAATATATGCATATATGCATAAGGAAGAGAAAGTACGGATAAATTTTCTCGGTATAGATAAGTGCTAGAGTAAAAGTGTAATAGTTTTAGACGTGTTATTTACAAGAAGAAATAAAACACATATAATTTAATGTTATAGCCAAGAATTTAGTTTTAATACGATAAGATAAGGGTTAAGCATTATGTTTCAAAAATATTTTCGGGCAAGTGACTGCCCCGGCTGGCTGAATAAATAAAAATCGAGCCGAATATGCTGTTTCAAAGCGTCAAACATGTCGGCCTAGACAAGCGACATCACTTAATCCCACAAAAAAAAAGTCCAGCAGTCTTAATTCGCGCGCTCTTGGAGGCCACGATTCAATTGATTGTTTCATTGACTGTATGGCACACAGTGTTGTTGGAGCCAAAGATCGTCCATTGATTCTCTCTGCCCATAGAGTGAACCGAATAGTAATTTTTTGCGGATGCTACGGAGTCTCAACAATGGCTTGTGGATAATCATCCTGAAACAAAATTTTCTTTTGAATACGGATCAGTAGCCACCTCGTTTTGGGGCCATTCATCGATCAGGCGATACGCTTGATGGCCGTTCGACTTAAGATATTGCATTAGTTGGATTTTGTAAGCCCGCAAATCAAGATCTTGTTTTTATAAATTTACTAAAATTAAAATCATAAAAACAATAAATTTAATGTTTGCATACGAATATGGATATGTCTATTTTGTGCTTTTGTGTCATTTTTGAATAAAACCTGCCACACTTAAGCACTTATACAGTCCATTCTGCATTGAAATCACATAAATTGAGGAAACTCTGCTGGATTTAAAAACCTCGAGTAACAGTTTCATAACGCCAAAACATTTCTGCCGTTTCGTGATTCTGCCTTGTTTATTCCAAAGCACATTCCACCCACTGTTGTCACTTCGGTGTGTTTAGACATAAATAATTTTACAAGTTAATCCCGTATGTACCGAAATGAAAACGATTTTTACTGAAAAGAAAATAAAAAAATATTTTTAGCCCCACTGTCTACACAGTTTTTTAAGTTTTGGGAAAAAAAAATATTTTTGACAAATGTGCGTGCTTAAAAATTTTGCTTAATATACTTTAAATACGCTAAAAATGAGTGTATTAAATATTTTGTAAAAATATTTTTGAAATCATCAGGAGATTTTATACAGCTATAATCTGCTTAGTCTTGTGGATGCTTTTAATTTGTTAATAGAAATGGACCCTAAAAATTTCTGAGTGGAATATTTCTCTAATTTATTTATTTTTTTTAGTTTTCTATTCCTGATTTTCGTCTGTGGTCATTATTTGAAAATTTGGTTTCTATTGGTTTTGAATGGTTTTATTTTAATTTTTTGAAATTTCTGCTTCTGTTTCTTAAGTGAAATTAACTTATTATATTATGGAAAATGCTACTAATTTTAGATTAAATTTCTGTTTGTGTTAAGTTTCTGTGTTTTTTTTTTTAATTTGTTTACTTCTTTGTACTGATCGCGTCATGCATTTGGTGTAACTTTTACTCTTGTTGCCCTCTAATTAAAGGTGTCGACTCATGCAATGAACTTTCATTAAAATAAACAAAAGCGGAATATCGAATACAAGTGAAATACTAAAAATATCGAAAAATCAAGAAAACAGTATCAACATTAATGTTGCAACCATGAGGAAAATGCAACTGTATCTGCGTCAGGAGCAGCAGCAACGGTTACAATGTCGAAGTGCGCCGATCGCGATACACAATGATCAGCCGTAATAATTCAATCAACATAACCAGAAGTCAATTGACTCATGTTAAATATATATATGTACGTACATGCTGTTGATGTTTATCATTACGAACAAGAAAACACAATAATACAAGCATAAATACCAAAAAACATGTGCTGCAACATCCTTCAACTGGAGTTAAATAAAAAAGTAACAAAAAACCCACAAAGTAAGTGGCAACAGCACTTACTCGTACTCCCCCCATTCGCTCACCCGCCAGTGGCTATGAATTTATTATGTGGCTCCCTAAAAGCCATCGACAGGCGGTTGCGCTGACTCAAATTCACTTACTCCACTTCATTTGGTGGGTGCTGTTGCTGCTGTTGGTGATGCTTGTTTGCCTGCTCTCAAGTTGGCCGAAGCTCACTGGCATCCGCCTTTTGGCTGTTTGGTGGCTCGTTTGCACAGTGCTGCCTGCCGGCTTCGCGCGCTCGCACTCATATCTCATCCAGCTCGAGCAAGCATTGGCTATTCATTGGTTTGCTTGGCTTTTCGATTTTGAGATTTTCGATGGTTTCGTTGGTTGTGTATTGCAAATTTATAAACTTAAAATTTGATAACGAACAACACGTACCGTTAGCAAGCAAAAGAAAATATTACAAGAAACAGCAACAACAAAAGTAATGCAAGTAACAGTACGAGTTGAGTATCTGAAAAGTGCAAAAGTGGGCGCTGGTATTTTGTTCGAAAGATGTATATATATATATGTATATATATAGGAGTACATATATGTATGCATATCTGCATTGTAGCTCGCAACAAGTGCTGTCTTGTTTTTGTTGTTTTATTTTAATTTTTTTCGTAGCTTTGCAATTTTTCCACCATTATTGTTGCCAAAACGGCGCGGCGACTCACAAGCATTATTATTACCAATTTTTAAGGCAACATCATCATTACCTTTGTTGTTGGTGTAAACACTGTCAACAGTAATGTAATTTTTTCTGCATAGATTTTTTGATTATTTGGTGATTGACGGCACAAGGGTTGAGCGGCTTTACAGGGCGCTGGACAGTGTGTGAAAATTCAGTTTAAAGTGTGGGAAGAAATTAAGAAAATAAAAGAAGATAATGAAATTGCTCCAGTCAATCCAATTAAAATATTTTGTTGTTGTAACTTATTTTTAATTCATACATTTAACTAAATTTAGTTTATTTAGAGTAACTCAATTTTATTTTGTTTCAAATAATTTAAATTAGTCATATTAATTAGGTATATTAATTAATATATATTAAATGCAGGAAATTAAGAAAATAAAAGAAGATAATGAAATTGCTCCAGTCAATCCAATTAAAATATTTTGTTGTTGTAACTTATTTTTAATTCATACATTTAACTAAATTTAGTTTATTTAGAGTAACTCAATTTTATTTTGTTTCAAATAATTTAAATTAGTCATATTAATTAGGTATATTAATTAATATATATTAAATGCAGGTAAATAAATTTATTTTTTATTTATTTAACTTAGTTTATTTCATCCTAGTTAATTAATAAATTTATTTATTTATTTAACTTATTTAAATTAATTTTATATTTAAATTTAATTTTGTTGTTGCTGGAAATTATTTTCCTAAACAATTAAGTTAAAATTTGAAAAAGTTATCCACTACTAAATTGGCCTTTGCTACCTACACGTATGTATGTATGTGCATTGTAGTTATCATTGCTACTTGCAGTTGCGTAAAACTTTGATTTGTTTCGTCTAAAAGGAAAGTCCTAAAAATAATAAGAAATTAAAATTAAACTACAAAACCATATTTTTATTTGTTAATTTGAATGATTACTTGCTCGCTTATTTTTTTCTTTTGTAGTGAACGTGCCGTCGAACCTAGCTGCTGAGCTCACGCGTTGTGTACATTTTTTGGGTATTTTATTTCACGATTTTTACACGAGCGCACTATGAAGTGCCGCATCGTACACAAAATTTTTTTTACAAAAAAAAAAAAAAAAAAATTAAAGAAAAATAAACATTACAAATATTTTCTCAAGCGGATTTGCATATTAAATGAATTGAACACAATACTGAAGAAGCTTAAATTAAAATATCTATTATGTAGACCTGAAAGTTGCGATCACTTGGTATTGTCTAAGTGCCCCTTACTCTGAGTGGTAAGCCTCTCATGAACTTTTGATAAATTGAATTTAATTCAATTTGGTAGATACGCTTAGCTTAGCGATTGGGGGTATCAAGTGTCGGTAGTGTAAAGATTATTTGATTTCACTTTTTATAACGAATTTCAGTAAGGTATAACACAAGAGATTTTTTCTTTTTTTAAAGATCAAAAATATTCCTAATAATATATATTTAGTCAATGCAAATAATGAGTACTATAAGTGATTGCGATGAGTATTAGAGCAGAAACCAGACATATATACATAAAAGTGTACAAGCACATACAGTAATAAATATATAAATGTGCACCATGTAAAGCTTCTCTATTAAAAAGTTGATAACTCTCCTTGGGTGTTACTCATACGCTCAT